AATATACCCTCCCAATCTTCATTCCAAAGCTACATTTTTCCACTCTATTGGTGCTGCCGTTAACAATCTCTGTACATTTGGAATAGGTTGAAACTCCGAGGCCCATTCATCCTTCCGAGAACCACCACCCCCAACACAAATGTTAGGTTCAGCTACTGCAGCCGAGTCGCCACCACGCCACTGTGTTGGTTGAGCTGCCACCTCCACCAAAGGAAGAAGACATGGAGTTGAGGACCTTGAGGTAGATGTAGAGCTTGGGCTTCTTGTTTCCCCTCATCGAAAAAACGAAACAAAATACTCAGAATTCGAAGCTATCCAAAAGAAGATCAGGACGCAAAGATGGGCTTTTAGATGTATTCAGTGATAGCTGCACAAGCTGGCCCCTGGAAACAATTGTAAAGCCATTAAAAGAAACAATCCCCTTTTTAAAGCATGTGATTGGCCCTCGAGAGAGCTTCAACACCACCGTCATTAGTTGGATGCATGTAACTCAAGAAACCCATTCCACTATATAATTAAATGAGATGTTTGTTGATTTCAGAGCTCCTACACTCATCATGAATGAAAGCTGATTTCAGCTAATGGGGATTTCAGATCTCAATTTTTTTTATTATTAATTGAAAGTTGATTATAATGATTAAAACAAGAAGGTGCAAATCAGATGGAACAAGCTCTCACACCCATCATGACCAAAAGTTGATTTCAGGTGATGGGAATTTTAGTTCTCAATATTTTTTCTTTTTTTTTTTTTCGTTGAAAGTTGATTATAATGACTAAAACAAGATGAAGCAAATCAAACGGAACAAGCTCCCACACCCATCATGACCGGAAGTTGATTTCAGTTGATGGGGATTTCAGTTCTCAATTTTTTTTATTTGTTGATTATCAACTAAAAATTAATTATAATGACTAAAACAAGCTGTTGCAAATAAGTTCTCACACCCATCATGACCGAAACTTGTTGTCAGCTGGTGGAGATTTCAGTTTCTTTTCTTTGCTTTTTTTATTAATTATCAATTAAAAGTTGATTATGATGACTAAAACAAGCTGATGCCAAAGGTTAATAGAATACCCAGTCTACCCCTTCCAAGACTCTAATAACTAGGACCAACATTGGGTGATGGGCAAGGATCAAGTAATGGGTATTTCTTCTTTAGTTATGCAGAATATTTAGTGAGATAAGCTGGTATTGGTGGACAAAAGAGTCAAAACATTATGTTATTAGTTAATTTATTGGATTTTTTGTAACATCTCTATGGTAGTTTTTGACATGTCGTGTTATAACATCTCTATTAGAATGTTTCTAGAACTATGGAAGTATGGAGTGATATGTGATGGGTTATTAAAGAGATGGCATCAAGTCAAAAAGGGAAACGAGATTGCTACAAGTCAGGCTAATGATGAAAGAGACAGGCATTATGATGTAGCAAGATGGAGTGTGAGCGATGAGGGTATTTATCACCTTGATGCCTGAAGAGTTCAAGAAGGGAAATCGACCAACCACAACCTTCAACAAGGCACGTAGTTTCGTGAAAAGTTCAAAATGTCATTAAGAAGCAATTTCGTGAGCAGACTGGTAATGATTATTCAGTCATTCAGTTTGGAAACAGGGAAATTGAGAAGTTACTTAAGCACACTGGGTTTGGATATAACCCGACCACTCGTACCATGAGGTTTGGGATGCATATATCTAGGTGAATTTGTTTTGATTTTTCTTTTTTTAATAATACAATAAGTAACCGATTGGGTTCATAGACAATATCTAATGAAATGTTGTATGTTATCATGGACTTCGGGACCATTTGAAGGCAAAGCAATTTCACACTGCTGGTTGTCCCATGTGGCCGGAGCTATGCAATATTCATGGTGATGCAACTGCTGTGAGTGGGATCACGGTTCAAAATATTGATACAGGGCGATACGCCGATAGGGTGTATCAGCCTATATTGGTACTATTTTTCATGTTTTTTTTATTATTATTATTTTTAAATTGGTTTAGAGGGGCTGGTTTAAGGCCGATCTACCCTTTGAACCTGTCAACCCAAAACACCCCCTATAGGGGCGTATCGGGAAGGCTTCAATGCGATACATATCTAAGGATGTAAACAGATTGAATTCGAATCGGATCAGACAATATTAGAATTCAAATCTGATTAGAAAATCCGATATCCGAATTTGAATCCAATTAAATATTTGAATATTCGATATGATTCGAATTCAATTAATTAATTATTTTAGATAATTAATAAATATACAAAATAAATATTTTATTGATATAAAATATATAAATATATAAATTATATAAAATATTTTATATATTATAAGAATTAAATAATCAATCAAATTCAGATATTTATCGAATCAAATTAGGTCATATCCGAATTCGAATTTGATTAACTATTCAGTAAGAATAGGACATCCAAATTCGACTGATTAGATATTTGAATTACCCGAGTTTGATTCGATCATGTCGAATATCGAATTCGAAATCAGATTTTCGAATACCGCTGATCCTTGGGTGGGACAACTCTATCTAGTGCACAGGGAGATGTAGAAACTGATCATGAAGTAAGCCAATATTCACATTTAATGTCATGATTATTAAGACTTATACCATACCATTGATATTTGAGTTAATTGTTCTCTCTCATTTTTTAGGATTATATTGATGACATAGATGGGACACATATTCATGCATGTGTGCCATCAAACCAACAAATCCCGTATCGTGGTAGGAAGCAAGTTACCACACAAAATGTATTATGCGTATGTAGTTTTGATATGTGCTTTACATTCATGTATGCAGGAAGGCTACGCCAATGATTCACATGTTTTTGTGGAAGCACTAACTAGACCCAATGTCAGTTTTCCTCTCCCACCGCAAGTTAAAATTTCTTACCACTTTTTGGATTTCCATCAAATGTGATAAATATTTAGCTATGTGTTTTGTGCCATTTCGAGGAGAGAGAGATACCATTTGTCCAATTTTCGAAGACAAAGACGTGCAAGAGGTGCGAGAGAGGAGTTTAACACTATAGAGTGGTGTTTTGGTGTGTTGAAGCAAGATTTCCAATCTTAAAACTCATGCCATCATTTTCTTTGAGAACACAATGCAAGATAGTGGTAGTTGCATGTGTGATTCATAATTTTGTCCGAAATGAAATTAAGAGAGATAAGATTGATGATTATTTTTTTAATGAATATGGAAACGACAATCTTGAGGTGGAAGAAAATGCGGACGATGGACATCAAGTGATCAATAATGAAGTGAATGCAGATAATGTGCCAAAAATGGCAGACCTTCGACGAGAAATTGCAAATCCAATAGTTGATTCAATAGGATGGCCTGGGATAGTTTGATTTCCATTTATTTTGTATGGTTTGGTAAATTGGTAGTGTAACAATGACTAGAAGAATGGCACTTTGGTTATGAATGGGTTGCATAAATGATACTTTGTTAAGTACATTTGATAACCTCTACATGTAATGTGCTTGTGTTTTGTTTTGCTTGTTTTTTATGAAGTATGGAAGTCAAGAATCAACGCCCAATTTGTGCTTGTGGACATGGTCAGATGCATCTGTTTATGGCAAAAATGGAAAGAAATTATGGGTTGTGACAACATGAAGGCATCACTATGACAATGACATGTGCTTTTATGGTTAATTTTAGGCTTAATGTGGGTGGATTTGCAAAACTGATGTTAAGAAATAGTTTCATTACCCAAATGCTATTTCTATTTGTATAGAACAAAAATTTGTTTGTAGACATGTGAATATTTAAGCCAAATAAATGGGCTTAAATACATGGTAGCCCTCCCAAGTTAATATGGGCCTCCAGGGGCCTAAGGCCCAAGTCTACATAAATATGAATTGGTGACCCAAGGATCCAAGTGTACTAAGTCCAATTAGGCCCATGTCTTATCGTAACGGGGCGGTCCTGTGGCAAGACCACTAATTCCTATATAATGGTGTATGTATGGGAATTAATCCTAACCCAACACCCCACTCTCATGGGATTGGTTAAATAAGTGGACTGAGGTGGCAGTCCTAACCCTTGGTTATAAATAGACTTGCATAGGAAGAAAAAATGCTATTTTTTTCAACAATCACATTGCAAAAACTCTCACACACCAACACTTGAGGATTGTAAGCAACCACAAGCTCGTGCCAACTTCAACAACTTCAAAATCAAGAGAGAAGAAAGAAGGGAAAATATCTTAATTCTCTACAACACATTTGAATTCAATCTCTCCAAAAAAGATCAAGCCACTACAAAAAAGCACTTCTTAGAAAAGCATCTTTCAAAGCCAATCAAGCACAAAGCCCAGAGTGAAAAAATCCACATCAAATCTTCAAAAACACTAAATTTAAGGAAATCTATATCAGCATTTCAAGAAGTATAAGGTCATTCCCTTGTTTTTTTTCTTTATTACAAATTTATATTTATAATTTATCTCCATATTTTGTATTAATCATATCGGCATCGTTTTCCAAAAACAATTTGCCAAACGTATATGTTACTCCTGAACAATAATAAATAAAATTCTCATTCTGAAACAATCATTTCTAAAAGAACATGAACAAGTGAAAACATTCAATTTTAATTTATTTTGGCAAGGGTAATTTAGTAAATATCCTATATTAGTGAAGCCTTAAGCTTCTTTTGAAGGAATCCCACATCGAATACGTCCAATCCTAATCCCATATGTTTACCAATTTATACATCACCTATCCATCTCAAGATTAAGATTGCTTATTCTAGTGCCACGTGTGCTAGATGATGAAAACTTGGAAAATAAAGAATAAAAAACGGATTTTGTTACCCGGGATGTAAATGTAATTACAAAATTATGGACTTCTGCATGGTAGACCCTAGGAAAAGGTTTGGCCACCAATGCTTTGGTGTAGTAACTAAAATGCCCTTTCAAAATAGCAAATTGCCCTCCCACATTATCTACCGTCCCAAAATCACTTTACACCCTAATCATCCAAAGCATTCATCAATAAATATACGCATAGTTATAACCCCCCATGTTGTAAGGATTCATCTGTAATTTCTCCAGTCCAAGCTGCCCTTGCATTCCATCCCTTGCATACTGCTGCCACATGAACTGCTCCTCCGCCAGTAGCCTCTGCTTCTTCTCCATCTCCGATATTTGCACGTATGGAGGCGGTGGCACTGATAGAGAAGCTGCAAATGGATCGCCATAGACCTCTGTGGCACCATTGCAGGAATTTGGTGGTGGGAGTAATGCCAGCATTGGCGGCTTCCCGGAAGAAGCTAACACAACACTACTTGCACTCCCGGCGGCTCCATAGTTACCCATGGTCGTCGGAGCATAAGCCGTTTTTTGTTGTCGATACATTCCATCCAGCATTAACATATCGAAACCTCCACCAAGCTCCAACTTATGATTTGATAGATTGCTGGCCGATTCAACCAATTCCGTCTCCCAGTCTGCGGAACCACCCAATGTGAATCCTCCCCATGCGGGTACTGCCGGCGATGCTGCGGTGCCATCGAATAAGGCCAGAGCCAATTTCTCTCCATGCTCTTCGCTTGCAACTGCTGCATCTGCATCGTCCCATAAATTCAACAAATCTGCTTCTTGTTGAGGGTTGCTTTTCTCAGTGACTTTCTCCTTTCGCTCAACCTCTTCCTTCACCTTCACTTCCTCGATTTTGATTTCAGAAAAATGTTCAGGTGGCGGCAATGCTTTGATTCTTGTCAAGTTTTCTACAACTTCTGCTGCATGTACCCTTTGATCTTCCACGATTAGCGTCTCAAGATCTTGTTTCTTGGGTGTCCTCTGAGACATGATGGACTTATCACGGATGAAATCGTCCATGAGTTGGAGCTTCTTTGGAAGGATTCTTTCAACTTTCGGGCACTCGGATGACCTAGCAATCCCGGTCGACTTGCTCCAGTTGTAGAATATGTCAAGCTGGTCGAATTGTTTGGATAGCCGGGTGAAGATCCCATGCACCTTCACACAGTCGGCGACTGCAAGTTCCATAAACCGGTCAACCAAGATTGCCATTACCTCTGCTATGTCATAGTATATTTGGAAGCTCTCTTTCAGTATTGGGTACAGAGCAACCACCACCAACCGGTTGTTCTTCGCCTTTCCTGTCAATCGGCAAACACAAATTCAATTCTCAGTCAATAACAGCACGAAATTAAAGCAAATAGCTAGCAAATGGGCGCGCAAATTGCACCTGTTGGTCGACATGCCAGGAAACGTTCAAGGAGCTGCATCAGGTTCTGAACCCTTGCAAAGATTTGTTCGGTGTTCATCTCATGGACGGGAGTGGTGCAGACCGGCGGTGGCGGGGAATCTTCTTCATTGTCCTCGTCGGCTCTAAACGCTTTGCGACGAACACGCCTGCCACCATGCATACGATACTCAAGTCGCTCGTCGAGGTAGAGCGCAAAAGTGCGGACAAAGGCGGAGAAGTCCCAGGAGTTGGATTTGGAAGCGTCGCGAAAGTCGGACAAGTTGAGGAGCCGAGTGCCGTGGCGGGTGCAGAAGAAGATCTCTTGCTCGTAGGCGGGGTCGCCCTCGCAGAGGAGGCGATGAATGAGAATGAGGGTCTTGAGGGCTACGGTCCAGTTCTTAGTCTTGCTGAGACGCCTGGAGAGCATGTTGACGCAGGCGGTGATGTAGGCTCTGGAGTAGGAAGTGAAGCTGAGTATCTCTCGGACGTGCTTGTCATCGGCGGGATGTTCGTCGTGGCGGGTGGCCTTTATGACGGCCACGTCGAGCTCAGCCAAGGAATGGCTGCTGCTCACCTTGGCCAGGCCTATGCTGGTCCGATCCTTCACCGCGTCCAGGGTTCTGCGGATCTTGCTCGGAGCCATTATAAAGTTGAGGGCTTGGTATTATTCTAAATTAAAAGGGCAAAATGGTCAACCTGTAGTAAACAGCTCCAAAACGTCACAATTTTTATTCATTCATTTTTTTTTTCGATTTTGTATTTATAAACCTTGCCCCTAAAGCTGTATTCGATTTGATGAGAAATAAGATAGAAGGATATGAAAAAATATTAAGGCTGTGTTTGGTTTGAAAGAAAAAGGAAGGAGAAGGTATGAAAAATGAAAACCTATATAAATATGTTTTCTTTTAATTTTCAATCTAACACAGCAACACAGCCTTATATATAGTGACATAGATTTTTGATTGTTTGATAACAATATGAGAAATATGCAATGTACCATGGATATATAAAACATAGATTCAAATTCGGTTTAATTAAAATATCAGTAAATCTATATAAAAATTAGCATAAATTTATAAAATTAAATATAAAATAAATAAATAATAAATTTATTTCTGAAAGCCAAATCCAACTTAATTTTAAAGATTTTTAGATCTAAAAAATAATATGTTATATATATAATAGAATTGGATCAAGCAATATTTTAATTTGATCCAATTAATAAACAAATAATGCTTTCAAGTTGATTATATGACTAAACAGATATATCCGATCCATTTGTGAAATAGAATGCGATACAAACAAAGGTGTGTACAACGGGCTACAGAACTGGTCAAGAGTGAACACGCCATAGATTCATTCACAAATGACCAATAATAATAATAATAATACAATATTCAGCTAACCATGAAATCAAAACATATTCAATAGTATCATTGGTAAGAACAAAAAAATGGAAAAATAGGAAACAAAGCATGAAGAAGTTGATGACAAGAACTACCTGCTAAAAGTAATGGTGGAACACGGTAGATTATTCAACGGCTAAAAAATGTATCAAAGAGAAGCGAAAGAGGAAAGAAAATCAAAGAAGAAGAGAAGAAAGATAGCTTTAATTTCAGCTCTTCTTTCTTCTCTTCTCTTCTCTTGTCTCTCCCTCCCTCTCCTCTTCTCTTCTCTTATCTTCTCTTCCCTCTGTATTTCTACAAAAATTAAAGCAAACCCGCATTGTAACTACATCACGAATCACCCTAACGTAGCAACAAAAACCGGGGTTTCCATGGACAGAGATTAGCCACGTTTTGCATCAATGTCGACCATTGTCTTGGGCTGGTAATTCATCACCACCCTTGACCGGTTCTACCTGACGGTTTTGCGTCAATCTAAACCCTTCAATTAGTGGGCCTGGGCCACCTCTGCTTCCTCCTATACACTAAAAATAAATGAGAGCACAAGGAATTATTCATGAAATTGGCTTACAATCTTCCTAATATCAATACTAAACCAAATATAGTGATACAGTTAAAAGGTGATGCAACTTTGAGCGGTTCCAACTCAAGCCTCAAACGATCAATTTTAGATGAATTGGACTTGGATTTTTTATCCTCCGCTTAACTCTGGATTTGAAACTTTGGGCTTTCTTATTTTTTGGGATGGGATTGGGCTTAGCCCTTAGGCAACTTGAACCCTATCCAACTATATATACATACGTACATGTCAAATTTCAATGCAGACTGGGCCTTTATTGGACATAGCAAACTTGGTCCAACATTAGGCTACAGGCCCAATTCTTAGGATTGGGCAATTGGGCCTAGATTGAGTCTTGTCTTCCATCCGGGCAACCCAGGTTGGATCTTATTCAATGATGGCATATCACATCTGCGAGAGAGTTTTCAAAGTTGAAAGGGATTTAAAAGTGCATCACTTTCAATGACCATGGAATCCAAAAATTCAAAAATGCAAGTCCACTTATACAGTGGATAGATCCTCAGACTGACCCAACTCTTTTTTTCCTTTTCTGTAGAAAGACTGACCCAACTCAAGTTCTGATTAGGTAGGTCTTTGTCGAACCACCCAGTTTCCTCTTCTAATTGAATTGACTGCTTTGGATACATTTGGTTTATATTCATGTCTTGGTATTTCTTGTTAGAAAGAAATTCAATTTCCAAAATGATAGAAAAGAAATAGTGAATAGAATTTAGTTTATTAGGCTATAATATATATCTATACCATACTAAAAAACATGAGAATGTTGCAATTGGTTCACTCAAAACACCATGAATTTATTTTTCAAATTCACCCTCAATTTTCTTTTTTTTCCCATTGTATATATTGTCATTACAAAATAATTATGAAGAAAATAATATAAATTACAAAAAAACAAAGAAATACAAAGAAAATTTACAAAAAAAAACATAGAAAATCATAGAAATTTCTATACCATACTAAAACATGAGAATGTTGCAATTTAGTCAAACCCCTGATTTTTCTTTCCAACTTTACCCTCAACTTTCTATTTTTTTCCATTGTATATATGTCATTGCAAAATAATTATGAAAAAAATACATAAAATGAAGAAAACAATATAATTACAAAAAAAACAAAGAAACACATAAAATGATTGTGTGACATGACAACCCATATTTTAACTCCTATTTGTATTGATCAATCCCAAACGTTTCATGAATAAACAGCAATGATATCAAACACAACCTTAAACGTTATGATACAGGTGAAATGTCCTAATTTAAGTGTCATTCCGTTGTATCATATTCATCTGTATCAATATATACAACCGATACAATGGGCAATACAAAGATTTTAACCCCAAAGACTTTCTTTTTTCTTTTTTTTTTCTGATACTTAAACTACAAGGCCTTACTGTTGAAAAGCAATCAATTTACAATTTAACTTTCAAACTAGCGGGGACCCGTGCGAACGGGATTTATTAAGTGAAAGCTAAATAATAGAAATGGTCACATACTAAAATACCCCTTATAGTTTCATGGATTTACTAATATCTATCCTATAATTAGCATTTTACTAAAACACCACTTATAATTTGCAATGGATTTAATCAACCTTCCATTAGATGACAGTGGAAAATGACAGTGTTGATCATAATGTTCATTTAAATAAATTTAATCAAAAGAAAATAAAAATAAAAATATCATTTTTGCCCTTAATAAGACACGGGCAACCACTCTATTGGCTATATTTGGTCAGTTTTTTTTTTATACAAAAAAAGTGTTATGGGTATTTTTTGGAATAAAAAATCATGGGCTTAATGACAGAACAAACACTCCTTAATAAAAGATGATTAAGTAAATAAGTTATAAAATATATGGGATGTTTCAGTAAAATGAAAACTATAAGTTAGGTTTAAGTAAATATATAAAACTATAAGGTGTGTAGGAATAGCATCAGGGCGGGGATCATATTCCCCGTCCCCAACCCCAATTCTGAAATTAACCCCCATCCCTGATCCCCGACAGGGATGGGTTCCCCATAGGGACCCAAATCCCCAAAATGTTTTTAGATAATAGTATTTTTTAAAATAAATTTATTTAAAATAAATAAAATTTTGAAATTATAAATAATGATTTATATATATATATATAATTGGGGTCAAGACAGGCCGGGGACCTTAATCCCCATCCCCAACCTCGACCCTGACCTCGATCGAGGATTCCTATTAATCCCTGTCCCTATCCCCACCCCGCCAAAACAATCCACATCCCAGCCCCATTGGGTTGGGGAAGTCAGGTTCCCGTCGGGGATGCGGAAAATTGTCATCCCTAAAAGTGTGTTCTAATAAATGACCCTAATAGAAACACATAAGAGTATACAATTGTTTTATATTTTTAACTTTTTAAATAATTAATAATTATTCATTTTTATATACTATTTTTAATAAAATTTTTATAATATAAAGATAACAATAATTAATTTCAGTTAGGTTTATTTATCAAACTGATAAAACCGACCAACCCGATTAACTCAACCCGAGTTGGTTGGTTTTCTAATATATTTAGGTTGGCTTTGGTTCAAAAATTTCCCAATTCGACCAAGTTGGATCAGTTTATCTTTGGCCATTTGTAAACCGACCAAAATCGAACAACCTAATCATGGATATATATTAATATTTTATATTTTAAATATAATTTTTAATATGGAAAAGTGGGAATTTTCCCATATTTCTTAGTCTAAAATGCTTTATATCATAAATCTAATTTTTTAATAATTGTACTATAATTTTTAAAATTAAATTAATTTTTTAAGTTTAAATCTTTTGAACAGACTGACCAAACAAAAAAAAATTGACCCAAACCAATACAACTTGAGTGGGTCAGTTTTCATAAAAGGTGAGTAGGTTTCATCTGACCAACTCCCTAACCTTACCAGGTCAATTTGGTTGGCCAAATAGCCTACAACCAAACCAAACCAACTCATGAACACTCATAATTTCAACTAAATTAATAGTCTTATCTCTGATAAATAACAATAGTTTAATCTCCAATAATTATTGAAAATTTATAGCAAAAATACACAATTATTGAAAATATATTGATAATGAAAAATACAA